CTCGGAGGAGCGCGGCGAGCTGGCCCTCAAGGACGCCAAGGCCAAGGTGATGGAGCTGGAGGACGCCCTCCAGAAGGCCAAGGCCGACATGGCCCGGCAGCTCCGCGAGTACCAGGAGCTGATGAACGTCAAGCTGGCCCTGGACATCGAGATTGCCACCTACAGGAAGCTGCTGGAGGGCGAGGAGAGCAGGTGGGGGAGGGCAGGGTCTCCTCTGAGTTTTCCCTCCCCTTTCCAGGGGTTGGTTCCTCTGCCCCCCCTCCCCCACCCCGTCCTTAATCTGGGTCTGATCTTCTGATCTCCTCTCCATCTGCCCCCAAAACAGGCTCAGCGGGGAGGGACTGAACCCCATCAGCTACTGTGAGTGCCACGGGGGCTTGGGGGGCACCGGCCTGCCCCGGGAGGAGGGGGGGGGGGGGGGGGGCCCGGGGGGGCGGGGGGGGGGGGGGGGGGGGGGAGGGACCTCGGGGACAAGGGAGGGGGTTGGGAGGGACCTTGGGGACAAGGGAAGGACCTTGGGGTCAAGGGAAGGACCTTGGGGACAAGGGAAGGTGTGGGAGGAACCTGAGAGGGACGTCAGGGATATGGGATGGGTTGGGAAGGACCTTGGGGACGAGGGAGGGGTTGCCCTGGACAAGAAGGGGGATGGAAGTTGGAATGGGGTCCCAAGGGGGCGTGAAGGTCCTGCCGATGGTGCCTCCTGGAAATGGGGGATTGCCCAGGGAGGATGTGGCTTCTGGGAGGGTCCAGGAGCAGGTTGGGATGGTTGGGATGGTTGGGATGGTTGGGATGGTTGGGATGGTTGGGATGATGGGGATGGTGGGGATGGTGGGGATGGTGGGGATGGTGGGGATGGTTGGGATGGTGGGAGGGCTCCCTGCCCAGGGAAATGTGGGATGGAATGAGTTTGTGCATTCCCCTGGAGAAGGGGAAGGATCCAGGGAGAGCTCAGAGCACCTTCCAGGGCCTGGAGGGGCTCCAGGAGAGCTGGAGAGGGATTTGGGATTTGGGATGGAGGGACAGCACACAGGGAATGGCTTCCCGCTGGGAAAGGGGGGAGTTAGGAGGGATGTTGGGAAGGAATTCCTGGCGGGGAGGGTGGGGAGGGGCTGGGATGGATTTCCCAGAGGATTTCCCATCCCTGGGAGTATCCAAAGCCAGGCTGGACCCCCCAGGGATGGCGGGAGGTGTCCCTGGATGAGCTTTAAGGTCCCTCCACCCCAAACCATCCCACGATTCCCTGATTTATTGACCGGGAAGAGGAATCCGCCGGTCCCTTCTGCCCTTGGCAGGGGCTGGAACCGGATGGGCTTTAAAGATCCCCCTTCCAACCCCATCCCAAAATCCCAGGAGTGCCAGCAGATGTCCAAACCCTTCTGGTCTGGCTTTTCCTTGCAGCCGTGATCAGCTCCAGCTCCGGCACCGGAGGAGGGTTTGGGGGGCTGAGCCTGAGCGGAGGAGGAGGAGGAGGAGGAGGGAGCGGCTTCGGCCTCGGAGGAGGAGGAGGAGGAGGTGGATTTGGCCTCGGAGGAGGAGCTGGAAGCGGTTTTGGCCTCGGAGGAGGAGGAGGAAGCAGCTTCGGCCTCGGAGGAGGCGGCGGGAGCGGTTTCAGTCTCGGAGGAGGAGGAGGAGGAGGAGGAGGAGGAGGAAGCTACAGCTTTGGAAGCGGAGGAGGAGCAGGACTGGGACTCGGGGGTGGAGGCGGCAGCAGCAGCCTGAGCACCAGCGGAGGGAATTTCAGCTCCGGGAGCGCCAAAGGCGCCAACCCGGGGGTGAAAATCGTCTCCAAAACCTCCTCCAGCAAGAAGAGCATCAAGAGCCAGAGCCTGAAGGAGCCC